TACTATTTATTCCTCAATGTAAAAGATTCTGCATTGCATGCTCCAATTCAAAGGAAAGCGGCCGATAGATCTGTGTTTGTTTTTATAGAAAATACAATATATTGGCAAGTAGAGGCTTGATTGGTCCGATTCTATAGGCTCGTAACTGTTTACGGCACGGAATCTAATTTGGGCGAGGCTCTCTGACTTATCTTAGATTGGCTCTCTAAGTGTAGGAGCACCAGAATCCTCTTCAAATTCCAGCCTGGAATCCCGGATCTTCTTCCTCTCCTTATTTATATATATATCCCATTCCAAGCTACAACCAAAACTTGGGGCACAACAAACCGCATTGGCATCTTTCTCTGTCTATTCCTCCCAATGGCCTCACTTGCGTGCTCTGCTGATGACCTACGCCCCCTACTAGGTAGTGTTGCCAATGCCTCCGCCGCGGCAGAGTACATCTGTAGCCGTTTTGATGCGGTTTCCAACAAGTTCATTGACACTGGCTACGCTGTGGACAACACCTACCTTCTTTTCTCCACTTACCTTGTGTTTGCCATGCAGCTTGGTTTTGCCATGCTCTGTGCTGGCTCTGTACGTGCCAAGAACACCATGAATATCATGCTCACCAATGTCCTTGATGCCGCTGCTGGCGGCCTTTTCTATTATCTCTTTGGTTTTGCATTGGCTTTTGGGGCACCATCAAATGGCTTTATTGGACAACATTTCTTTGGTCTGAGTAGATTCCCTACCCCGTCTTTTGATTATGGCTATTTCTTGTTTCAATGGGCGTTTGCTATTGCTGCTGCCGGGATCACCAGTGGTTCGATAGCAGAGAGAACTCAGTTTGTTGCTTATTTGATTTACTCATCTTTCTTGACTGGTTTGGTTTACCCCATTGTATCACACTGGTTCTGGTCTGCTGATGGCTGGGGAAGCCCTACTAGATCCAATAATCTCTTATTTGGATCCGGGGTCATTGATTTTGCTGGCTCTGGAGTGGTTCACTTAGTTGGTGCGATTGCAGGCCTA